GACCGTGCTAGAACCACGGGATTCGAGGGTGCCTAACACCTTCCCTCGGGTCAACAGAATTCCTTACTTAGAATTTCTGGTTCGCAGACTTCATTTGGAAAAGTCGAAAATTTCCTCGATTTGGGATTCAAGATAAACCGGTGACTTGGGACACCAAAAGCCAAACCTTTCCCAAGTGGCGACTCTGAATTAAATAAATAATCTCATTTCAAATATTGTCACTTAAATTGGAAAAACCCCACCCGCGCATTTAACCCTTCGGGGACGGGCGCGCAAAAAGGAGGTGTGACACTTGGTATATCGGATCTTTCGAGATTCTTGAGAGAATTGGAGAGGTGGCCTATAGGCTTACACTACTACCTAGTCTAGCTGCAGTTCATCCAGTATTCCATGTTTCTATGCTCTGGAAGTATCACAGTGATCCATCTCATGTGTTGGATTTCAGCTCAGTCCAGTTGGACAAGGATTTGTCTTATGTTGAGGAGCCGTTGGCCATTTTGGACAGGCATGCTTGAAAGTTGAGGTCGTAGAACATTGTTTCAGTGAAGATTTAGTGGAGGGGTCAACCAGTCGAGGAGTCAACTTGGGAGACCAAGCATGATATGTGTAGTCGTTATCCGCATCTTTTATCCACTCTATGTATGTCTCTATACTCGTTCTAGGACAAACGTTTGTTTTAAGAGGGGAGGATGTAATGACCCGGCCGATCGTATTGAGTATTTTAGCCCTGATCCCCTATTTATTGCCTCCTCTATGTCGTATCATGATTATGTGACTTGTCGGGGGTGTTTGGTTTTGGTTCGAGTGAGTTTCGAAGAGAAATGGGACACAGTCCCTAAGTTGGAGGTTTAAGTTGTAAAAGTTGACCGTAGTTTGGGTTTTGTGTAGATGACTCCGGAATAGAGTTTTGATGGTTCCAATAGCTCCGTATGGTAATTTTATACTTAGGAGCGTGTCCGAATGTTGATTTGGAGATCCGTAGGTCGTTTCGGCGTAAGTTGGTGAAAGTTGAAAAGTTGAAGGTTTGGAAGATTTGGGAAGTTTGACTGGGAGTAGACTTTATTGATATCGGGGTCGGATCCCGACTCCAGAAGTTGTAATAGGTCTATAATGTTATTTATGACTTGTGTGCAAAATTTAAAATCAATTGGAGTTGTTTTGGTATGAATCGGCATTGGTTTCGGAATTCGGAAGTTCATAGTTCATAGGCTTGAATTTGGTTGTGATTCGTAGAATCGATGTTGTTTGATGTAATTTTTGGCCTCGAGTAGGTCCGTTATGTGTTTTGGAACTTGTTGATATATTCGGACAGGGTCCCGGGGCCCCTGGGAGTGAAATAGATTGAAACCGGATCGAATTGGACTTATGCAATTGCCGAAGTTCTAGCCTTCTAGTGTCATCGCACTTGCGGAAAGATTGGCCACAAGTGTGGACTTCGAAAAGCGAGCAATAGCGGAAGCGAAGCTAACTTTGCCCAGCTGGGATCGTAGGTGCGAGGATTTATCTGCATCTGTGAGTCCGCAGGTGCGGACGAGGCTGGCCTGGTCTATGGTAAGCGGGGAGTTCTCCGTAGAAGTGGGCTCGCAGGTGCGAGTCATGGTCCGCAGAAGCAGAATTTTTGGACTTAAGTGGATCCACAGCTACGATGGTTTTTCGTAGGTGCAGCGTAGCAGGTGTGACCCCCGGCTCGTAGAAGCGAATTTGATGGGCAGAAAATGGGAATTTTCGAGGGTTTGTTTCATAATCCACTTTTTGACTTAGAGAGCTCGGTGTGATGTAAATTTCCAGGAGATTTTTAAAGAGGTTATTGGGATAAGAATTCCTAACTCGGTTTTTGTTAAATTACACGAATCTATTGTTAATTTTATTATTTAATTAGTGGTTTGAGTTGCAAAATTGGGGGAAAATGGTAGAAACTTCCTAGACTAAATTTTTGAGTTTTGAAAGGCGATTTGAGGTTGGTTTGAGTAATTCTTATATGGTTGGACTCGTTATCGAATGGGTGTTCAGATTTTATAATTTTGGTCGGGTACCGAGATGCGAGTCTGGGTTTACTTTTTGAGTTGACTTTTTATTTCTTTGTAAAGATCGTAATGTCACTGTTTGAATTAGTTTCTTATAGTTTGTATTTATAGTATGAAGTTATTTTAGCTAGATTCCAGTCGTTCGGAGTTGGATAATCGAGGGAAAGGCATACTAGTGGATTGAGTTAGCATGAATTGAGGTAAGTGGCTTGCCTAACCTTGTGTAGGGAAATTACCCCTTTGGATTTGTGTTGATTCTGATATGTGAAAGGCGCGTACGTAAGGTGACGAGTTTGTACATGGACTAAATATTTTAGCTATGTAGATTCCTTTCATGCCTTAGTTGAGTTACCTTAACATATTATAGTCATTATTTCTAGCCTATTTTCACATGTCTACTTGTTTTATTTTTTACTTGCTAATTGCTCTACATATTTAGTTGAGGTTCTTGTTTCCTTTATTCCATATTCATTATTTAACCATTGAACTTTTTACTTGAAGTTATTATTCTTGGAATATCTTATTGTTGTAATTGGTATTGAGTTATAAAGGCCGTGATTTTATATTGAGGCAAAGTATTAAGTTGTGAAATGCTACTATTGTTGAGTTATTCACTACCAGTTATTGTTGTTGAGACTCTCGTGTACATTGTGGCTGAGCCATTGGATCTTTATTGTGAAAACACTGTTATTGTTGGTTTATGTGGCAAGTTGTGATATTGAGAACTTGAGGTGCGATTTGCATTACGTTGTGATATTGATACACATGCAGTTGTATAAGGTTTTGGGTTTGAAACGCATGCAGTGAGATAATGTGGGCTTGATATGCGTGGCTAGTAGGGGAACTACTAGAAGCCATGCGGAGTGATAAGGTGAGTTAAAACGCGAGATGTTATTTCGGAAAAATAATTTTCAAAACTAAATTCAAGACTCCCGTTGTGATATAAGGAAAGATTGTGACTTATTCTTATGATTTGAGACTACGGGGCGGTACTTCGGTAGTGACTCTTGTTGGTATTTCTCCATTGTTGCACTTGTCTTTGGTTGTTGTTTCTTTAGCATGTTATTATTTGTTTTTCTCCATGTTGCACTAATTGCTTTAGTTCCGTGTAGCTAACTTTGATATGCTATTTATTGTTACAATTTCATTGCTGCAAATATTACACTGCCTTACACTTGTTCAGTCTTTTATTTATTCTAGTAGGGCCTTGATCTGACCTCGTCACTACTCTACCGAGGTTAGGTTTGGAACTTACTAGGTACCGTTGTGGTGTATTCATGCTACGCTTCTGTACATCTTTTTGTGCAGATCCAGGTACCTCCTACTAGCCCAGGCATTAGCAAGAGTTTAGCTATGGAGACTTTAAGGTATACCTGCCGGTGTGCGAAGGCCTCAGAGTCCCCCTCTACCTTGACTATTCTATGCTTCCTATCCTTTTATAGATATTGATGTATAGGATCATGCGGTACTTCTATTTAGAGCTTGTGACTTGTATTCACTGGGTCTCGGGAGTTGTATATACTGAATCACAAAGCTTTTTTTATTATAGTTGCTGAGTTTTGAAACTTATATTTATCATTTCAGTTATTTTTGTATGAATATTAGGTTTACCCAGTCTTAGAGATTAGGTATCATCATAACATACTACAAAATGAAGCGGGGATCGTGACACTATCGCGGGTTCTAACTTCTAACCCTAGTACGAAGAAAGAGAATGGCACCATGGACAACACACTTTGTATTTTTTTTGTCTCTTTATTTTAAGGATGCCACGTGTCTTTTATTTTATTGTTTATTGTCTCTTTTCAAGCGTTTGAATAGCACGCACGTTGTATATTTGTTTCAGCGACTCAATAGACACATAATGTACTGAGTTTAAGAGGCCAATAGGTACAAGCACTAACTAAGGTATCTGAATGAAAAATACTGCCAAGTTAAAGGGCTGCTTATGTAATTGGCCTTCTATTTTATTTTTATTTAAAAAAAAAAAAACCACATACCGAATGGGATTAGTTGGTTTTTAGTTTCATCTCCCACTTTTCCAGAATTAATAGAAGTTGCAAGAAAAAGACAAAGAGAAAGAGATGCATTATCTATAAGCACAAGTGAGTCCTCAAGTTTGAATAGCATAGCAGCCGGCTACTGCTAATGGCATTTTCAGTACTGCCATTTCAGCCCTCCTTTTGCTCTTCCCCGTTGGCGCAGCGAAGAACATTTAAAAATCCTTCTTTTCACCAGCTCGATGTCTCTACTTGTAAATCCCTCAACAGTCATTTCTTCACCAGAAAAGATGGTAATTATTCAATAATTGTAAAATCTACTTTGAGTTCCCCTATAGTGTCTCCGGAGGACCACTGGGGTACATGGATGTCTCTTTTCACAATTGGCGCTTTTGGTCTGTGGTAAATAATCCTCCTTTTTTTTCCTTCGGATGATGGCTTTATACCAACAGAAACATTTTTATGAATATCCCCATTGTTGAATTCTTGGAAAGAACAAATTTTTAACTACTTCCTCTGATTGTTTCTTCATTTGACATTTTTGGGGGGTGTTCATATATATATTTGAACCTATCATGTGTAACCATTTTTTGTTTGAATTGTTACAACACGCATCTCCCATTTCCCCTTTTTGTTTTTGTTAATTTCACATAATACACGATTCACTCTGAAGGTCAGAGAAGACTAAAATTGGGAGTATGGTTAGTGCTGCACTGGTTAGCACATTGGTGGGGCTGACTGCAAGTAATATGGGGATTATTCCGTATGAAGCGCCAGCATATTCAGCTGTATATAAGTACCTGCTTCCATTGACAATCCCACTATTGTTGTTCAGAGCAAATTTGCGCCACGTGATACGCTCTACCGGTCCTCTACTTTTGGCTTTCTTTCTCGGATCAGGTCTTTTTTTTGCTCATATCTCCGAAATTGGTTTATATCCCTTTGCCTGATTGCTGAAATTAATAGAGGTGGTTGTTTCGTTTATTTCTAGTGGTGAAGGCACTGTTTGATGGAAGCTAATTGGATAAGGTCGCCCATAAATTGATTAATCAAATATGATTTCTTCTTTTACTTTGTAAGATCATTCTCTGTTTGAGTAGTTAGCATTGCTACTTGGTATTATTTCAAACAGGAATGTACTTATAGCTGCACCTGGCTTTATGTGTTTATTATTGTTCTTGCATTTCTTTCATAACTTTGTAACTAAAAGGAATGCATCATTTACCACAGACCAAAAGTGCCCACTGCGAAAAGAGACATCCATATATCCCACTGATCTTCTGGAGACATTATAGAGGAACTCAAAGAAGATTTTATGATTATTGAATGGTTACCACCGAAAAAGCAATCTCTTTTGGTGAAGAATTGACCGTTAAGCAATTTAGAGGAGCACAGACAAGTAGAGAGGTCGTGAAAAGAAAGATTAACTGCTCTTCTTACATACATATCAATCTTATCAATATAGGCAGCTCGGTGCACAAGGCATCCCGCGTTCACGCAGGGTCGGGGAAAGGGCCGTTCCCCAAGGGATGTGATGTAGACAGCCTACTCTAATGCGAGCATTAGTGGCTGCTTCCATGGCTCGAACCCGTGACCTGTAGGTCACACGTGTATAGCAAAAACAAGCACAACTCTTCAATTTCTTGAAATGCCATATTAAGTGAGATTTATGAAATGCTTTTCTAATATCTCATAAAGATGTCTCAGGTTATTTTGAGAAGCTCCATCTCGGACTTTAGAACTAATATATTCTTGGGTTGTTATCATGAATAAATATTTACAGCTAAGTGATTATATGCCATAACTTTTCAAATATTGGGAGTTCTAGCCACTATATGGGCACAGATTAACAGATTAATGCTTGTGTTATCTTCTTTTTATGTATATGCTTGTCATTCTACTAACTTCAACTTTCAGCTAGTGTGAAAGCCTTTCTGTTGTTTTCATATTTTGTCTTCCAATGTGACAGCCGGGACGGTTATTGGGACTGTAGTGGCATATCTGATGGTGCCTATGAGATCTCTTGGTCAAGATAATTGGAAAATAGCTGCTGCCCTAATGGGCAGTTACATCGGTGGAAGTAAGTCCTGTAGTAAAACTAGTTCTTTTTTTTTTGGTTAGGAGCTCCATGCAGGTGTTTTCTGGATATTTCATTTGTATTCTGGTCATGCACATATATTTAATTGGAATTGATCCACGGCACAAGATGAAGATTAGGTTAATTGAACAAATAAAGGAAAATTTTGATATCTGGTTCAATGTCTTTGATGCCTTACTTTGTGGTCAATGGAAATATTTGGTTTTGATGATTTTAAACTGGCAGAACTCTCCTACTGTTGCATATGTCATTTTGAGTAGTAATTACAGAAGGATTTCTGATGCTGGAATGACAGATGCCCAAGAACTTTATTCACCAAGAATGAAAGAACTCAGAGTTTGCTATTCGAATTGTAAATTTCTGGACAAGTTTTTTCATTGATTTCTAAAATCAATGAGAAGCACATCCTGAGGAAACCAGTACGAGTGTTCCCTTTAAATTCAGTTTTGTTTGCAAAAAACTAAAAAAAATTTGGGATATAGATTTTACACCTTTGACTTGTCATAGCCAAATTTCCTGTTTGATGTTTTAAGTAAGCTATTTGTGAGCTTTTTGATTGAAAACGGTCTTGCAAACCTAAATAATCAATACGAAGTCCTTTAAACTCTAGAAACAAAGCTGGACATTTTCAAATTCTTCCTAATCCTAAATTTGCCGTGTGGGAATCATGTGAAATGTTGTGCTTATATTTGATGTTGCATGCAAGATTTGAGACAATCATACACATACATGCGCACATAAGTTTATGTATATATGTAAACTACTTTCCGTTGGGTGGGAGTTCTAGTTTGCGCATTATTAATAGTCTCTTAGCAGATAAAGTACTTTATCCTCGCTACATGCGCTTTTGCTGCTTCGTTATTATCTGAGTGATGTTCTACCTATGGTTTTGCAGCGATTAATTATGTTGCTATCTGTGAGGCACTTGGCGTGTCTCCATCAGTTATGGCTGCAGGTGTTGCTGCAGATAATGTAATTTGTGCAATATATTTTATTGCACTGTTTTCATTGGCCTCCAAAATACCTTCAGACGCTTCAGCATCAAGTGGTGGTAAGTGATATTTAGGGAATAAAAAATTTATGATACCATGAGATGTCTAAAACATTGTGTATGCATTTCCTTTCATATTTTGCTAAGTTGTTCTGCTTATATCAATTTTGTTCTGGTCAAGTAGTTTTTATTCTAGGTTTTGCGGTTCACCATCACTGTTGTCATGACCCCGGTTCGCCCTCCGTGAACCATCGTGACGGCACCTAGTCTCTACGACTAGGTAAGCCTAAATTGCGGAAGATAAACCAAATTGCGGAAATTAAACGATTTTAAAACAGAATTAGAGTAATAAAACAGTGTTTAAAAGTGTTGCTCGGCATGCACAATATTTAACTCTCAAATCCAATATATATCTCTCCCAAAACCCGGAAACCCATGAATCACAAGCTAAGGATATTACATAGTGCTCTAACTCCAGAATCGTCTAAAACAAGTAAATACAGAAGGGCTGTAACTACAAGAGAGAATAGAGAGAGACTCTTCGGTCTGCAGACGCGGCAGATATACCTCGAAGTCTCCGAAGGGTCGCCTCGCCTCAAGGATGGTAAGTCTGAGTCAAGGTACCTGGATCTGCACATGAAAAACATGCGCAGAAAGGGCATGAGTACACCACAGCGGTACTCAGTAAGTGCCAAGCCTAACCTCGGNGATTTTAAAACAGAATTAGAGTAATAAAACAGTGTTTAAAAGTGTTGCTCGGCATGCACAATATTTAACTCTCAAATCCAATATATATCTCTCCCAAAACCCGGAAACCCATGAATCACAAGCTAAGGATATTACATAGTGCTCTAACTCCAGAATCGTCTAAAACAAGTAAATACAGAAGGGCTGTAACTACAAGAGAGAATAGAGAGAGACTCTTCGGTCTGCAGACGCGGCAGATATACCTCGAAGTCTCCGAAGGGTCGCCTCGCCTCAAGGATGGTAAGTCTGAGTCAAGGTACCTGGATCTGCACATGAAAAACATGCGCAGAAAGGGCATGAGTACACCACAGCGGTACTCAGTAAGTGTCAAGCCTAACCTCGGTCGGGTAGTGACGAGGAAGGTCAGGGCCCTACTGAGATAAAATAAAAATATAAGATATGACAGTATAAGATAAGCAGTACAGTCGAAAAAACTAACACTAAGAATTTAATACAGGAAAACAAGGAATTCAATAGCTGAAATAGAGGCAAAAACAATCACAAGGAAATAACCGGGGATCTCTCAGTATCCCGAGGATCTCTTAGTACCCTCAATATATGTCAGGGATCTCTTGGTATCCCAAGGATCTCTCGGTATCCTCAATATATGCTAGGGATCTCTTGGTATCCTCAATATACGTGCCATGGATCTCTAGGTATCCCGCACCTCAATTCAAATCATAAATACCCACAGGGGATCTCCCGGGATGCCGTCTCGTAGTCTCAAAGTAAAACACACAGCAGCAACACAAGAGTACTCAATTAAGCTCAATTTCGTATCAAGTAAACATGTACTTCTAATCTAACAACAACAACAACAACAACAACCCAGTATAATCCCACACGTGGGGTCTGGGGAGGGTAATANCTTCATATAATTCAATTAAGGCATTTTAAGCAAATAAACAGTTAAGTCAATTAGACATGCTTTTTTTTTTCTAAGTTAACAGCAGGTTTAAATTGCAAGTGAAATGAAACAGGAAAAGGAACACAATTGAAATTACTTAAAGAAAACCGGATTTTCAACAATTAGCTCAAGTACGCACTCGTCACCTCACGTACAAGGCATTTCAAACATCAAATATACCAAATCCTAAGGGGAAGGTCCCCCACACAAGGTTAGACAAGCCACTTACCTCGAAGCGGCTCAAAATCAACCTGAAACCACGTCTTTGCTACGAGTACTCGACTCCAAATGGCTCAAATCTATTCAATTCAATTGCATAATGTAAATAACATTTCAAGTAACTGATTCTAAAATTAAATTCTAAGCTAATATGCGAAATTAGGTAAAATGACTAAAACGCCCCTCGGGCCCACGTCTCGGAATCGGGTAAAATTCATATTTTCAGAATACTCATACTCTCACGAGTTCATGCATACCAAAATTATCCAAATCTAAGGTCAAATTACTAATCAAAAGTCGAATTCTAGGTCTAAGAACTTTCTTCCAACTTTTCCCCAATTTTCATCTCCAATTCGAAATTAAATGATGAAACTAACTATAGATTGATAGAATATAACTAGAAAGGGTTAAAGAATTGTTACCCAATGATCTCCTCTTCAATTTCCTCCCAAAATCGCCTTCTCCCGAGCTCCAAATCAAATTTCCAACTTTTGAAACTAAACCCTCGAAATTTCATATTTCTGCCCAGCTGTTACCGCATCTACGGTCCCGTTTTTGCGGAACACGGGTCGCATCTGCGACTTCTCACTTAAAACTAATCTTCCGCATCTGCGACTCCCCATCCGCAAATACGGTACCGCTCCTGCGGAAATCCTACCGCTTCTGCGGAACCTGCCGAACTTCCCCATTTCCGCTTCTGCGATAGATCTGACGCTTCTACGGCTCCGCACCTGCGGTCCCACACTCGCAGGTGCGGTTATGACAGAAGAATAGCTGAAGCTGCAACTCTAAAATTCCAAAAATCTTTCCATCAACCATCCGAAATCATCCCGAGGCCCCCGAGACCTCAACCAAACCTACCAACATATCCCATAATTTCATTCAAACTTGTTCCAACCTTCGGAACGTCCAAAACAACATCAAAACACCTATTTTTCATCGGATTCAAGCCTAAGA